GCCAAGGGTCCCGGTGGATGCAGGGCAGTCAATGGTCCCCAGGGATGCAGGGTGGCCAATGGTCCCCGTGGGTGCAGGGTAGCCAATGGTCCCCAGGGATGCGGAGTGGCCAATGGTCTCCAGGGATACGGGGCAGCCGATGGTCCCCAAGGATGCGGGGCTGCCAATGGTCCCTGTGGATGCAGGGTGACCACCCTGGAGAGATGCTCTGGCACGGTGCCGTCTTCACGCCCAGCTTCACACCCCTCAGCCCCGTGGGCAGCCGATGGTCCCCAGGGATGCGGGGCTGCCAATGGTCCCTGTGGATGCAGGGTGACCACCCTGGAGAGATGCTCTGGCACGGTGCCGTCTTCACGCCCAGCTTCACACCCCTCAGCCCCGTGTCCCCATCCCTGGCACATCCTTGGTGGCTTCAGGCATGCCGTCCCCTCCAGAAAGTCGTTGACGGAGGCATTGCCTGCCACGTCTCCCTCCCCTGCTCCCTCGCAGGCAGCCATCAGACAAGCTCCTCCAAAAAAGCCCTCTGCAGAAAGGCACTGCTGCCCACACACAGAGGCGTTTTTGTACAAAGAAGATCCACGTCACGCGCGCACACAGATCTCCCCCTCCTCTCCGCGTTCTCCCATCGTATGGAGACGATTCAGGACATCTTACATGAACTTCCTGAAGGCACCTTCTACGACAACACCTTCCACCCCCAAATTCACCCATTCTTGAGCAAACCCTCTTTGCTGGGAGGTGGTCCTTTGTATCTTCCAGGAGGCTTTCAACGCAGACCATCCACCATGCACCAAGCATGGGTAGACCACCACCTCCCGCTGCCACCACGCAACAGCACCAGCAGCGATGCCGTCGGTGTTATGGAAGGACAGGCTGCCCTGCGCACCCCAAGGACACCCCTGCATGGGCAGGTCTCCTCACAAACCTGTGTCGCAGCGCGTGGTAGCACCACGTTGAGACCCAAGAGGCAAAGCACCTTCCCACATGTCCTTCTGGGCCCTGCGAGGACGCACAGATGTGTCGCTGTCGCTCCTGCCTGCCTGCATCCGCTCCTTCTGTCTCAATCGTATTCATCCTCATCAATACCCGCTGGATTAAATTAGCTCAAAATATAGGCAGTGAACATTATGCTATTTTCCCCCCCACTTTTCTTTCTTTTTCTTTTTGTCGACAGCCTTCCTCCTGTGCCAAAGGGCCATCCAGAAACAAAAAAATGACAAAACAATAAGTTTCTGAAGCCTCCCCGTTCCTTTCTCCGTGCTGCCTTCTCCCATCCACTCTCCTCATGTCCTCAGGAGAGATCAGGCTTACACTCGCTGGTGTTACCGAAACCGATTAACCTACAGCTTTCCAGCAGCAACCCCTCTCAGCCCACCCCTCTCAAAAAACAATTCAAGCTTTGAGTCTGGAGGGACTCAATGATTCAGCGGTCTAAAGCGATTTTAACACTCCCTATTTTCCCTTTCCTAGTAACAATCTCACTGACAGATGAACAATTTCCCTGGTGATAAAATCACTACAATGGCTATTTAGTTTCCAGGATTATGATGATTCTTTGCTTGATTAATACTGCAATAAGAAAAGCTTGCCAAGTATCTGCCTTGGCCCTTTATAGTCATTTAAAGGTCAAACTTTGTCCTTATGTATCCACATTCAACTACTACT